ACTAGGCTTTTTTTTTTTTTTTTTTTTTTGTCTCTGCATTCACTAACACACTCCAAAGTTTCTGGAGCCTTCCACTTAAGAGCATTTTGAATCACATTTCACCTAACACTAATTTATCTACTTTGTAGAGCTTATTTTTCAGAAAAAAAATGCATTTTATTTTTAAACAGATACAAGTTCCCTGGAAGTCTGATTAGTTTGTTCACTAGGTCTATGAAAGAGCTGTCACAAATCCCCAAATCCCAAAAGCTTCTTTTAAAGCAAGGGTCAAATAATTTTATTCCCATCGACCATCTCTGATGACAGAGGATGGAGGAGGAAAATATTTCTTTCTCTATATTAAATTTATGTCTTACACTTCCAAAGGAAGTCACAGATAATATAAATTTTACGTGTTCCTGATTGTGGGTACAAGGAAGTTGAATTTATGTAAATCATCTTTTATGAAATGACAGTAGTTCTCAGACAAGAGTTAGCTGTCATCAAGTCCCAGAGACACATTTATAGCATCAGAATGAGGAATTTTAGCTGTGGACATGCAAGACTGAGTGTAAGAAGTGTGTGTGTGTGTGTGTGTGTGTGTGCGTGTGTGTGTGTGTGAGAGAGAGAGAGACAGAGAGATTGTGTGTGTGTGTGTGTGTGTGTGTGTGTGTGTAGGGGTATACATATTTGTCTTTGTGACAAATAGGAACACCAAAAGCCAGGGGTCTCTGTGCATCTATGCCAAGTTATTCAGAGTAATAAAATTTCCAAATCCAAGTTGATAAATTTTTCCCTCTTTGAACTCATTTGTTTTCCTTTTTTTCTTGTCTCTCCCTGGCCCCAATTCCTCCTCTACTTTTCTTGGAAGTTTTATTGTGTTACCTTCTGAAGTGTGAAGTGAGCTCAGTTGGTGGGATGCTGGTGGCTCTATGTTCAACCTGTTGACTGTGCCTGTATGTCAGTCATCTAGACAAGATAGGAAGGAGTTGCTAGCCTTTTCTGCCAGCTTTTTCTAGGGCTTCTGGCGAAAAAGCTCTGGCATTATTTTGGATTAAGAATGGATGACAGATACTGCAGATTTTTTCCTAATATCCATCCTCCCTATCTTCCTTAACGATAGAACAGACACATCCCTGCAGGCCACATATCCAAGGATCTCCCTCACAGCTACATCAGTCACTGAGTTTTGGTCAATGGGATATAATTAGAAGTGTCTTATGAGACTTGGCAGGAATTCAGTGAAGGAAATAGAGAATTTTCTGTCTTTGCTCCTTTTCTGCTGGTTGGAGTTCAGAGATGGTGGTTAGAGTCTGGGTTTATCTTCGACAGTAGACAGATTGCCAGAAGCTGAAGATGGGATGGTGAAATGGCATGAAAGAAAGTGCCATTCCCTGTGACTGTGATGTCTTCCTATTAGACCTAGATCACAGTTTTCAGACTGTGTGCAAGTGTGTGTGTGTAACAGAAATGGACTGCTGCTTTATTCACAAATTTCAATTTTCTGTCACAATAAATGCAACATATGTGACTCTATTGATGGCCTTCACAAACCCGAATCTCCCTATTCCCTTCCCTAGCTATGTCCATGTTTAAACCCCAAGCTTGTTGAACATGTGGGGAACAGGTTGACTGGCATTGGCCCCGTGCTCCTTCACTCCTCGAGTTTCAAGTACCTGGCAGTTGTTTCCATGATTCTGCGCATTCTTTTCATCTTTTCCCTTTAACTAGGCAGATCATCTTCCAGCTCCTCATCTTGGTTAAGAGAGCAAATCTTCTCCCCTCTGGCAGTTCTGTACCAGAATCACTCTTTGAATGCAGGTGGGGTTAATCAGGAGAGGGGCTCCTGCCTAGGGAGGTAGAAGAAGATTGTGGCCCTACACATCTTACCTCTAAACTGTTCCCTTGTTAGGGGAGAGAGAGATGATAATGATGGGAACATGAGGTTAAGAGAATAATTCTATAAAATGGGCCCACTGTGCTGACCCCCATATGCTTTCTTTTCCAAGTAACAATTTACTTATAGCCCTGCCTGGGTTAAGTGGCTGGGATATGTCACATTCCTCAGCAAACTACCTATTATCTGCAGAAGAAATGCAGGTCTGAAATAATTTTGATAATAGGAACCCAAATTACCCTGAATGGGGAGACTGCTATGTGCCTTTTCTTAGGCTAGATCCTGAAACTCAGGAGGGAGATAAGGATAATTCCTCCTACCATAAAATCTATAAGAATTTTTTACTCCTCACACTTCAGATAGAGCCCTAATATCAAGAGTATACAAAGAACTCAAAAAATTAAACAATAAGAAAACAAATAACCCAATCAACAAATGGGCCAAGGACCTGAACAGACACTTCTCAGAGGAGGACATACAATCAATCAACAAGTACATGAAAAAATGCTTACCATCTCTAGCAGTCAGAGAAATGCAAATCAAAACCACCCTAAGATACCATCTCACTCCAGTAAGATTGGCAGCCATTATGAAGTCAAACAACAACAAGTGCTGGCGAGGATGTGGGGAAAAGGGTACACTTGTACATTGCTGGTGGGACTGCAAATTCGTGTGGCCAATTTGGAAAGCAATATGGAGATTTCTTGGAAAGCTGGGAATGGAACCACCATTGGACCCAGCTATCCCCCTTCTCGGTCTATTCCCTAAAGACCTAAAAAGAGCATACTACAGGGACACTGCTACATCTATGTTCATAGCAGCACAATTCACAATAGCTAGACTGTGGAACCAACCTAGATGCCCTTCAATAGATGAATGGATAAAAAAATGTGGCATTTATACACAATGGAGTATTACTCTGCATTAAAAAATGACAAAATCATAGAATTTGCAGGGAAATGGATGGCATTAGAGCAGATTATGCTAAGTGAAGCTAGCCAATCCCTAAAAAACAAATGCCAAATGTCTTCTTTGATGTAAGGAGAGCAACTAAGAACAGAGTAGGGAGGAAGAGCATGAGAAGAAGATTAACATCAAACAGGGACGAGAGGGGGGAGGGAAAGGGAGAGAGAAGGGTAATTGCATGGAAATGGAAGGAGACCCTCATGGTTATACAAAATTACATACAAGAGGAAGTGAGGGGAAAGGGAAAAAAATAAGGGGGAGAAATGAATTACAGTAGATGGGGTAGAGAGAGAAGAGGGGAGGGGAGGGGAGGGGAGGGGAGGGGGGATAGTAGAGGATAGGAAAGGCAGCAGAATACAACAGACACTAGTATGGCAATATGTAAATCAATGGATGTGTAACCGATGTGATTCTGCAATCTGTATACGGGGTAAAAATGGGAGTTCATAACCCACTTGAATCATATGTGTGAAATATGATATGTCAAGAGCTTTGTAATGTTTTGAACAACCAATAATAAAAATTTTAAAAAAATCCAATTAGAACTGGTTAGCATGGGCCAAGGTAAGCTAGAGTTGTCATGGCAGTGGGGACTTAAAAGTCTGGACTTTCTGCAGTCTTCTCTGGGATCCTCAAAAAAATTGGAGTGCAGGAGAGACACATTGTCCCACTCTTCTCTGAGAGGACACTCTCAACTCTTTCCCCTTTCCCATTCCTTCTAACAAACTCATTCCTGTTATTCTGAGTGACATGCCTGAAATCTTTCTGACTTGATCACAAGAATCAGTGTTGGGGGGCGGGTCTTCACCCTGACTCAGTTTTCCAGAGGCCACAGCTCTGTAACACCCTCTGCGGTCACACTGAACCAGACTCTCATCACCTACTGTCTCCATTGTGGCCTCAGCCTCCAAGTTTTTGATCCATAATGCAGGTGGGCTGCAGATTAATCAAGAGCAAATACCAAGCCAGTGTGCAATAGTTACTTATTGACTGACTGATCAATGTTCATTTCCTGTTTTTCCAGGATGTCCCAGCAGAGCAGCTTTGGCAGGAAAGACACCTGTCGCCCACTGCCCACTGCCCACTGGTACTGCTCCACCCCGCTCTGTCCTGCTGCCTATTCTTCCCTCTCCTTCCAGACAGGGCTTTGCCATAACTGGTATTTCTAGCCTACATTTCTAAACTAGAAATGTAGAATTTCTAGTGCATCTACATACTTCTTCTAGAATTAGTGCATCTATATACTTCTTCTCATGTATTCACGCAGACAAAAGAAGCAGGGTGTGTTATCACAAATGACACAGACATGACGAAGGTGAGAGATAGGAAGCAAACCTCAGATCAGCCAGTTTTTCTTTATTCAGTCAGTGACAGAGTCAATCAGTTGAACACCTGGCATGGCTCATTTGCAGGGCACAAAATGGCGGCAGGCTGAAGCAAGGGTCTGGGTTATATAGGCTTCCTTTAGGATAGGACAGGAGAGTAGTTCCTGGGGTTCATTGTATTGGAGTCAGCTGATTCATTAGGGTGGGACAGGAATGTGAAATGGGAATTTCCTGGGGCTTATTGTATTGGGGTCAGCTGATCCATTAGGGTGGGTGGTCAGGTGCCAGTCAGGGGCCAGTGCCTTTAGTGCCCCTTCATTCTGGCTGAGGCCTGAGATTTTAAATGACAAAAGCTTAGGGAAAATGTCCTTGGACTTATTATCCATATCCTTGGGGTAGACCCCTTATTTTACAGAAAAGAAACTTGGACTCAGAAGGGTTAATTTGCATAGGATCACACAGTGAGTTAGCAGTAGAGACAACAAGACAATCCAGGTTTTATAAAGTCCAAAGGAGTGATACAAGGTTAAGTCTGAGGAGAACCCTAGTACATGCAGGTCACAAGAAATATCAATTAATATGGGTTCTGCTTGCTCATTCCTTGACCCGGAATTGGAGCTAAAAGAGGATTTCTGGTGTAGTTAGATGGACTACTGGCTTTAGAGTCAGGCAGATGTTTAGATTCCTGTTTAATATCTTTGAATCTCAGTTTTCTTTTCTTTCTTTCTTTCTCAAAGTAGAGATATTGATGCATGTGTTTTTAGGCACTCTTTGGAGATTAGGACTAGTATGTAAAGTGACAGGCACATGTTAGGAGTTTAGGAGACATTTACCTCAATTCAGTTGACGTCTTCTCATTCCCTGCCATGTTCAGGGACCTGGGCTGGGTGCTGCACAGCCACTGAGCTGGCAAGCCTCAGCATGGCCATCCTCTCCATTCTCTCCTGTTCTCTAAAGCTCCACTTGACTGAGCACATGGACGAGTGCTTGGGCACAGCTTCTCCAGATGAGAGCTGGGTCAGGTTGGGCACTCAAAATCTTTTCCACATGTTTCTGCAATGGGCCCAGTTTCCAGAGTGAATATCTGGACTCATTCTGTAAAGTAGTTTCCAGGAAAATAAATAAATAAATAAATACTCACAGCATTGCTTTGGGTTTTCCATTGAAACAGATGAATCCATGATGCATGAAAAGGCTGTCAGGCAGGCCGAGGGAGGCTGAATGCTGGAATAAAGCTGGGCATCTGTTACTCCACGCCCCAATGTGAGGTCTGTTCTCCTGGGTGAAGCAAGGCTTGGCCAGACAAGCAGCACCATTGTAAAGTCCTGACAATAGACAAGCAAGAGGACTTGGCTGTGATGAGGAAATCCCCACCCCCTTTGAGTGTTAAAGGAAGAGAAGCTGGGGTCCAAAGCCTGCCTTATTAGAGACAGACAAATCACCCAAACCAATCTTTATTATGAATGCCGAGCTATTGAATTTCCTCCGCTCTGCAAAGCCTATTGATTTTGTGACAGTCAAAGATAAGTTATGCTCATGAAAGTTTTTTTCTCCTCCTTCTTTTCCCTTCACAACATATTTTTTTTTCAGACGTATTGGCATTGGGGATTGCGAGTAAAGCCGTTATTGGTTTCTTTCGATTTAAGGGTAGGTCAGCGCTCAAGCAAAGCTAAGGATCATTTTTACAGTGGTTTCCAGTGCAAAATAAATGAGGCAGGAATCTCTAGAGCTGGGGTCACTCTGTTATGTTATTTCAATCTCCAGCAGGAATGCTGCAGGCATCCCAGGCATTTCTGGAATTCTGACATTAGCAATGATCCACTTATTCACTCTTTGTCCTCTCTCTACTACCCCACTCTCCTCTTATTGACCTCTATTCCCTTCTCACCAAGCCATACCATAAGGTCAGTCAACCAAGACAACAAAAGGCAGCTCAGGAAGGAAGCACTTGCCACAAAGACACAGTGCCCTGCGCACACAGGAGTATATTCTGCATATAAGCCGAAGGTTTCTTAAACTGTAGGTGTTTCTTTGAGATGTGCAAATATAATTACCTTTACGAAAAGAGTTGTTCTTCTCCTGTTAATTTATTCAGAATTCTATCATATTATAAAAATATTTTGGCAATGCATATATAAGTAAAAGCAAGATATCATATTGCCTTTTAAAGAAAATTGCTATGAATATAGTCAGATGACAATAACATTTATAAAGGTTCAGATACAGCTTAAATCAAATCACAAAGATTTGTAAGATCTGCATATGTATGTATATCCCCAATATTTCTGAATATGCAAATATTAAATAGACACAAATGAAAGTCTACTAATATATTTAGAAGAGTCTAAGGCCTAATTAATACTTTCCAACATATTCACTCATTTATTCATTCATTCAACAAATAGATATTGAATTCCAACTATGTCCCAGGCACACAATAAGAACATTGTGGATTACTCTCTCTTTATAAAGTTACAATGAAATATAAGAAACATATTTTCTGCATTCCAGTTTTGTGATTTACTAGTTAAAAAAACTTGTATTTATTAACGAGAGAAAGATGAAGGCAAGAAAAGAACTGACATTACATTCTCGCTTAGCTGGATGTCCTACTTCCCTTAGAGGGAAGACTGGGTTTTAGTTGAGTCACAGAGCTGTGGAAGATATTTTAGAAGGGCTTATAAAAGCAGTTCTCTTGAAACTGTGCCTTGCCATCAATATGCATAGAATGGCTTTTCCCAAGTGAACGGACCAAACTTTTTTTTTTTTTGCCAAACAAGAAGCATCTCATGGGAAAAAAGGTAGAGGCACCCCAGCTGGCAAGCACACATCTATTTTCAACAGGGCATAAAATCCATTTGACGTTAGATCATGAATGAGAAGGAAGGAGGGTATTTTTCCCCCTTTCAAAGAATTAAATCATTTTTCATGCTTACAGATTAATTGGAGGCTAAATGCTTGGTTGTAGAGTTATTATAAAGTTCTGCTTCCTCAAATTTACTTCTTTTAGCAATAGGTCCTAGGGTCAGATGATAATATAAGAAACATATTTTCTGGGGTCAGAAATTACTTTTTCAGGAATCCTCTTTCAAAATGAATTCCTTCTAATGAGAACACTGGTGACCTGCAGGTTGTACGCTGAACAGGAGACAGGGTCATTCTGCAATCTGGACAGCTGTTGGGAAGGCAAGCACAGGAAGGGACTGCATCAGGGAGCAGTGTAGACGGCCTCTGAGTCAGAGAGGACTCTACTCACTTAAGGAACAGATGCAAGAGGGACAGAAGGGCATGGGAAGGAAATTTCTTTATGATTTTGTTCAAGGCTGACTAATCATTACTCCTTCCTATCCCATCCTTCCAAAGGGTGGTATATAAAAGAAGATTTCCAAGAAAATTATTTCTAGCATATAGACTTATTCAACTTAATAAGGTTTATATTTTAACTATATTAAAATGATTCCCCAAATTTCTACTTCCTGCATAATTTTTTTCTGGTCACCTCAGATTATTTTAAATCTTAGCCTTGGAGTTCTTCTAGACAAAAGTGTTGTGAAAAAATAAATACATGAATTTGAAAATGAGACTGATTAGGTTTAAATTCTTGATTTAATACTCATCCATTCTTGGACAAATTAGTTAACTTCTCCAAGTCTCAGTATACTGATCTATACAGTGAGGTATATCTCTTATTTCTTAGTGTTACCGAAGGTAAAAGAAATCTAAAAACGGAGGAGGAGTGAGAGCTTAAAATTAATCAGATTATCATATCCAGCAATACCTTACACCCTAGGAGGATAATACTTATCAGCCCAACATCATGTGACATATCCATGCCATCAGTAGCATACTCATGCCACAGGCTTCTAGTGTGGCTTGGCCATGTGACTTGCTTTCTTAAGTGACAGTTCTGAGCAGAGACTTTTATAAGCATCAGTAATTCTGTTTGCTCCTCTTAAGATTCTCGCTCCATCACAAAAAGTCAGTTCTCCCAAAATAGGAAGACAGGTGCAGGCCCCCCAAGTTTAGCTGAGTCCTGCAGAGTGCACCAGAGCAGGTCTAACCTCCAGACTTGATGCAAGACATACATGGATTTTGAAGTTTCTTGTAGAAAATAACAGATTTGGTGTTTTTTTACTATGGCAAAAGTGGACAAATATAGTGCTCAAGAAATGTTTATATCATTTCTTTCTTTTTTTTAACAGAGTTTTGGATAAACGAAGAGATGAAATCTACATTAATTATTAAACCAGCAACTGGCACATAGTTGGTGACCTCTGTTTTTTTTTTTTTTTTTCTATTTTTTTCCTCTTGATTTCTCAAGTTTTGGGTTTTGGGTTTGGGATTCAGTTAATAACCAGATGAAGCTGTTACTCACTTTTCTAAACAACAAGACCATTCCTTTAACTACCTGAGCCCTGTTTGGATCAATTTTTCTCTCTAGCCTTTGCCCTAATAAAAGCCCAGTGTTGGTCAACATCTCTAGTATTAGATTCGTGGTTATATAGTAGCTGTTTTTCCCAAATTCTGTTCCAGGGACAAAGATAAGAGCCTTCAGTTTGCCAGCCCAAAATATTTCGCTGTGCTCCATAGAAACTAAGAAGAAGAAGAAGGAGATGAAAATAAAAGATCTTGTCCATGAAGGAGAGGCATTGTTTAATGAGTCTACTGGTTAAATAGACTTCATGGTTAAATCAGTTTGTTGTTTTTACTTTTACCAAGCTCAATGATTGGCTACAAAGAAAATCTGGGATGTGCTAAACTGGTAAACAGACTGCAATATCAGAAGTCCTGTTGAACTCATAATCTGGAAGCAAGCTTTGTGGCAGATCCCAGGGGGCTAGTGAAGGGATTCACAGTACAATCCTGAGAAATGTCTATAGGACATTAACAATCCAGCTCCTAGAATTGGGGGGAAGCCAAGGAGGGAGCCAAGATTTAATTGGATAGAAGAAAGAGCAAAGACAGAGACATGGGAGAATCAGATAAATTTTCTCTGATGACTGTCTTTTCAGTGTGTTTTACAGTTTTATAGGAGCTGCTTGTCTGTAAGGGGACTTTAATCCATGTGACACTAAAAAGAATATTTAGGCTTTGACATATTCCAGTAGTTGAGGGATGCAGAATAGTGAACCCATGGGACTAGAGACCAGTTTATCCTTGTAGAATAGGGAAAGGAAAGTTGGAATTAAGATGGTCAGGACAATAAGGACCTACCCACAAGTCTTTCCTTTCATATGTAAGGATGATTTGGCCACTTGATGTTCATCAGTTGACACTGCCACTTCAGTTCAAATCAAAACCATTCCAATAACCACTAAAAATGTAAAATCACCCAGGAAGCTAACAGTATTTACTTTTCTTGCATTCCCTAACTTTTTTTGGTATTTACTTTTATTGCCTTAGTTAAGTTAGGGAAAGAATACAACTCAGTTTTCCCAGTATAATGGTTTCTGTAACACAAAAAAAAATCCTTTGGGAAATGAAAATTTAATTAGAGAAACCAGTAAAATCTCTGGTGGGATATAGGAAGATTCAGAAGGTGAAAACTTTAAGAGACAGCATGCTTTATGAATAATGCAATAGCTTGGCTTTGCCATCCTCTTTCTGCAGATTTACATTTCTGAAAACAAAGGGTCAAAGTACATGGGAAAATCATCCGAAGTCCCAGAAAACTCTAAGCTGGCAGAACCAGCCTCCGCAATATATTTGCCGCCAGCCTTCCTGGCTTAATTCCTCTTGCACATGCTCAGAGCTGCAACACCCTGAACCATATGAGGTCTCCTGCACATGTGGATGTGTATCTCTTGAGAGCCTCCAGGGAAGGGGCAGACTCTTTGGCCTCCTACACCTGACCTCCTTCAGATAGATATAATCTTTCCCCTTAAATTTCACAATATTTTGTCCAATTCTCACAACTTGAGAGCTTCTACTTTTTATACCAGTATATACTATCTCACTGCTACTAGACTACCCCCACCCCCAATGACAGGGATTATATTCAACACCTCTGTATACCAAAAGCACAAAGAAGGTGCAAAGGGCAATTATTTTTAAATAGAAATAATGAGAAGGAAAAAAAAAACAAACCTAGGCATCAGCTTTTTCTTTTCTTTTCTAATTCACAATACTCTTGTGTTCAGTTTTTATTAATAGTTCTAGAGCAAGTGTTGATATACATGGTTTTAAAAATTTCAATGTTTCCAGTCCACTGGGGGAGCTTGTGGCAAAACAGTAGTGACCCTGACCAAAATTTTGAGAGGTAACAACTTTCTACTTATTTTATTTTTTTGTTATCTCCATACCTTTAATCACTTGATTGTTTTTTTCTTGGTTTTACTCCATCCTTATCCATTGATTTCTCACTACAAAAGAACTGAACTTTCTTGCACCATCTCACCCTACCACTGTGCTCACTCACTTCTCATCCCTTGTCCTCCAATATAATTAAGCCTTAATTATACTAAAGTAATATACAGTGCTGACACAATTATGATCTATGTAGTATGCCTTGATTAACTTTAAAAATTTTTTTTAAATTTTCCCTGGAGTTAATCATGGTTCTGCCTTTCTTCATTTTCTGTACACTTATCAGTAATTAAATCCCAAACTGTCTTCCAGTTTTTAAAATCTTCTCTCAGTA